CTTATATTTGATAAAGGGGCTAAAAGCATGCAATGGAGAAAGGATAGCATCTTGTCCCAGATTTTAAAGGAAATGCTTTTGTTCTTTCCCATTTACTATGAGATTGGCTTTGGGTTTTTCATATTTAGTCTTTATGATGTTGAAGTAGATTCCTTCTATTCCTAGTTTCTTTAGTGTTGTGTTAAAACAATAAGTGGGTGTTGAATTTTTTCAAAGACCTTCTCTGAATCTATTGAGATGACTAAGTGATTTTTGTCCTTAATTTTGTATTTGTGTGATAAATTACATTTATTGATCTTACATCTCTGGAATAAAACCAACTTGGTCATGTTGTATAGTCTTCTTAATGTTTTTGAACATGATTCGTTAATATTTTATTAAGTATTTTGTATTTATTAAGTTCATCAAGGATATTGGTCTGTATTTTTCTTTCCTTGGTGTGTCCTTTGCAAGAGACTTTTTGCTGTTTTCCCAGACCCTAGGTTAATCCCCCTCAAGTACCTTTCAGATTATATCAATTTCCTGAACAATGTTCTGTGGTAGTAGAGTTATACTCCACATAAGTTAGCATTTAAATTTCTTTGCACTCTTTCAATCTTTACTTTCCTCTCCTTTTGTTACTTCCCTAAATGGAGCCAAATTAATTTGGTATTTAACCCTACTTATTGGTTTCTTTGTTCTCATTCTCCTTATTATGTACTCTCTTTTCTCCTGGTGTGCCTTAACTTCTCTGCTGGTCTTAATCTCTCATTCCCTTCAATGACTGACTTAATTTGACTCTTTTTAAAATTACATTTTTGCATCCTTTTAACATTTAAACATTTAGTTTGTCTAGATATAATAAAGTCCATGATATCCTGCTCTTGATGCTGATCTTTTTTTGGACATGCGGCTTTACATCATTATTCCATTTAAGAACTATTATTTCTATAATTTTTTATAGATCTCTTTCTACCTGTGGCAGAATCTTTTTTGGGAGGTGTTGGGGGGTACAGGGGATTGAACTCAGGGGTACTTGACCACTGAGCCACACCCCTAGCCCTGTTTTGTATTTTATTTAGAGACAGGGTCTCATTGGGTTGTTAGTGCCTTGCTTTTGCTGAGGCTTGCTTTGAAGTTGCCATCCTCCTAAGCCACTGGGATTATAGGTGTGTGCCACCATGCCAGGCCTGTGGCAGAATCTTGAACATAATAAATATTAAATAAATATTCATGGCTGAGAGATCTAGAAAAGTTTATGAAGAGATGTGTAATATTTAGCATTATTTTTCTTCAGTTTTAAAAATGCAAAGTTATGCCTTTTATGTCATTATCTGGTTTTAACTTCTTATTTTTTAAATTTTATGCCAGGTTTTAAAGACAGTGTTCTCAATACAGTAAAATGAAATTTGACAACACATTACTATAAATATTAAATTTGGTTTATTGAACACTAGCTTCTCAATATATCAGATTCTCTAGAGAGAGGTTAGCTTCCTGTGTGCTTGCTAGGCATTTTTTTAAAAATTTTAATATTTATCTATTTATTTTTTTTAGTTATCGGCAGGCACAACATCTTTGTTTGTATGTGGTGCTGAGGATCAAACCTGGGCCGCACGCATGCCAGGCAAGCGCGCTACCGCTTGAGCTACATCCCCAGCCGCTTGCTAGGCATTTTTTTAAAGGAGTAATAACCTTAAAGTGTCTCACTATGTGATAATAATAAGATCTTCCACAATTTAAAAGAGACATAGTTACCAACACTCAGAATAAGAGATGGTGATTTCATGGTTTCATTCTTTGTCCAAAGCTGTGCTTCTGTTGCTGACTCATTCTTAAATGAAAGCGTTTCTTTCCATAATTTTCATGTCATCCAAAGTCAATATTGGGAAGGAAAGAAGGATTATTAGAGTGGAGCTTGGTTGAGAAGGACATAGGCAGAAAGCATCTTCCAAGATCAAGAGTTAGCTATCTTGCCTCTCTGCCTTTCTTCCTCCTTTCTTCCTTCTTACCACAAGAGCAGAGAATTGGCTTGAAGATAGTCCTTAGTTCTTAGCACTTCATTAACTTTGTCAATATAAAGTTATTTTCTTATGCTTTTAACCCTTTATCCTCAAGCCACATATTCATTCCTTTCCTAGCTCAGATGCATCCACTCCTATATGTTTTATGTTTTGTCCTACATATTTGCTTGCAGGATATATAATTATGTGTTCAGTCTTCATTTGTTATTTTTACCAAATCAGTATATTTAGCAATTTTTAAAGATGTGTTCATATTTATAGGCACATCTAAAGTGTGATTTCTAAAAGCTACATAGAATTATTTATTTATATCCACTCCATGTTGATTTTTCATGCTCCCAGTATGGAAATCAATGTTACTTCAAGCTCCTGCTGCATTATCATCATGGTGAACACTCTCACACAGGTCTATAGTATGTAATTTGCATATATATAACCTTATTTGAGAATTTCTTAGGGATTTATTCCCCAGAGAGGGATCACGGGATCATAAAGCCTATACATGCTTAATGTCACTAAGTATAAATAGATCACTTAGCAAAGTGGCTGTATCGGTTTATATTTTTACCCACAGTGCATTGATTTCTTGCCTTCCCACATCTTTGCTAACTTTGCTATATCTACCATCCTAATTTTTGCCCTTCTGGTGGGTATAAAGTGCCGTATCATTATTTTAATTTGCATTTTACTCATTTGCTTTACTCTGAATTTAATCATCATTTTATATATTGTTAGCCATATAGGAGTAATCCCTTCAGTTTTAAATGTTGTAAAATCTTCTCCTTATCTTCATTTTTCTTTATTCTATTTATGACCCTAAAGTTGAATACTTGGGAGATTTAATAGGCCAAGTATTGAACTAGCACAATCATTTATATTCACATGGTTTGTTTAACTCTAGGGAAGGCTGAAAAATATGGTTTAGCTTTGGACCCAGAAGGAAGAGAAAATGGGTTTGGTGAGCAGCCAGCAATTACCATACCATATTGGTATCCTTTAATCAAGTTCCTTTTTTCCTTTTTTTTGGTACCAAGGATTGAACTCAGCGGTACTCAACCGCTGAGCCACATCCCCAGCCCTTTTTTATATTTTATTTAGAGAAAGGGTCTCACTGAGTTGCTTAGTGCCTCACCATTGCTGAGGCTGACTTTGAACTCCTGAACCTCCTGCCTCAGTCTCCTGAGTCACTGGGATTATAGGCATTTGCCCCTGGGCTTGACTTTTTTTTTTTTTTTTTTTCCTTAAAATTGTGTTAGCTTCTGTTATTTGTACATCATTGCATGAGGTATTTTCATAATAAATGTATTTAAAATAGTAGAAGAGATAAAGATCAATTAATTTGTTTTCTCAGGAAAATTAGGCCGATTTCCACCTGTAATGCATCATCACCCGGCACCCTCAGATGGCCCAACCCCTGGGGCTCGTTTCCAGAGGTCTCACCTTGCAGAGGCATTTGCAAAAGCCAAAGGATCAAGTGGAGGTACTGGAGGAAGTAGTGGAAGAGGCCTGATGGGGCAGATTATTCCAATCTATGGCTTTGGGATTTTTTTATATATACTGTACATTCTATTTAAGGTAAGTGGAATCATCTTAATTATATCATATTTTATGAGAGAAAATCTAATATTAGTCTAATAAAAATCATCTACATTTAAAACTCTTTAAAGTTTATCAAACTCTTTCAAGTCCATCATCTCTTTAAACCTTGCCTCCTCTTTGAGATACTTAGGATAGCCATTATTTCAGCTTTACTGATGAGAAATCTTGGCTCAGAACTCGAGTGCCCCACAGTTAACAACTAAAAAGGCAAAACCAAGACTTGGGCCTGGTTCTTCCAGTTTCTAGTCCAATGATAAATGTGATTCAAAGCCAAATTAAAAAAAAAAAAAAAAAAAAAGGACTGAGTATCTTTGCAAGCTGAAGAGCTTTATTCTTAGGGTTGGCACAGTGATTTCCAGGTAGCCACTGTGAGACCAAATAATGATTGTACTAATATGACTTTGTTTTCCTTCTCCCCACACTAATATGCCATCGCTATTTTTAATATCCTCTCTAGTAATTCTCCTAGGACAGAACTATCTTATCTTGAAACTGAGCTTGATATTTCCTAGTTCTGGGGAGACATGGTGTGGGTCTTTTAAAAAGAGATTTCCAATTAAATTCCACCTCCGGGCAGGCTTTTGTAGGCCACAGTCCTATGCACTATCAAGTAGAGACAGAAGCTTCACTTTGTACTCCTAACTAGAGTAAGATTAGGTGATTTGAGTTTCTTCTTGCCCAAGAATGCTGCACACCACCAGAGTTGATTCTGCAAGAATGCCCCTGGGGTTTAGCATCCCCTTTAAGATAAGCATGGGCAAAGCAAATGACCTGTTGGAAGGTTGTTTTTTTTCCCTGTACCTTAATAATATTTACTTGGGTACCTTCTCAAATCTCTCAGTGGCTTTTAAAAAGAGATGTTTCTCTAATACTGCTACTTCATTTGATTTCTGACTTAATTTTTGTCTCCCAACCTTTTTTTTTTTTTTCCATTTAATATGAGGGTTCCATGACTTTGAGGTTCTGAGCTGCTGTTGATGTGCTGTACCTCCTTCAATTCTCAGCTCTCAAAGGGGAAAACTGCAGAGGATCGGAAATGCTCTAGTGTCACACCTGGAAACACCCACAGGAAAATTAGTAAGTGTCTCTTCTGAATAAATTCACAAGTGTTATTGAGTCAGACAGCAGTAATATAGTCAGAGGGACAATGGTATGTTTTAACAGCATTTCTCAAACGTTGTTCCAAATTCATCTGATGCTGTTTTTATCTTAGCTCTGGGAATTCTCAAAAGTTTTCTTATTGATTTTTGGGCGTTTAAGGGAAGGATGCTACAGAAAGTACAAAACTGACAGTTTACTGTTTTATTGTATTGGGAAATTAGTATTTCACATTTGGAATGGGTTACTTCTCATTTCCATACCTCAAAATATTGATAGCAGATACCTTTATTTCACAGAGAGGATAACTGAGGCAGAGAAATCACATCATTGTCCAAATCAGTTATTAGCTCTAAGGAAAGAGTGAAGATTTGAGGCTCTTGAAACATAATCATCAAATATTTATTGCCAAACTAGAGTGTTCTGTGCTCTCTAAGGAGATGAAATGTATATAGCATAACTTTTTCCTCTAAGAATTTATAGACTAGAAAGGACATCAGGAAAAATAACCTGTGAAAAGTTTAGAAAGAAGGGACTTACCATAAGCACGATGGGAAATCAGTTTGGGTGGCTGTGAAGGAGCAATCAGATGGCTTGAGTAAGATATTGGCAAATACAATTTCTTGAGCTTATGGAGGTCTAGAGGGTGTTGATGTACTACAGCTGTGGGAAAGAAATCTTGAGTGGATTAAGACCAGACTGCTACTTTCTCCTTTGAATAATGAAGCCTCATCAGACATTTTTAAAGAAAGGTATCATCAAAATGAAATGAGGCTGAGCCACAGAGGCATCTTGCTTAGTATATAAAGGCTTTGGATTCTCCTGGATTCTCTGTGAAATTAGATATCTCAGTCATATTCTGCATCTTTTTTGGAAACTTAGTCAAGGAATCCTTGGAGAAAGCAGCTATATGTTTTTAAGAGAGAGAGTGATGATAAATATATCAGTAATTTTTTAAAAAAATTTGCTCTTTACAGAGTAGCAAGTTATATATCTTGTCACATAATGCATTTGAGACAGAAGTAGATCAAATGAATTTATAAGAGCAGCTCTTTTGTAGTAATGGTAATAGTTTAATATAGCTTCTTATCCTTTAATTTTGAATCATGCAGGAAAAAAATAACCTATTAAGCACTATGTCCTGTAGACACTTTATAAATGTTAACTGTATGCATGAGAGTTTGTTCTAAAAGCATTAAAAGGCCTTTAAAATATTATATTTATAATGACCTTCTCAATATATTTGGTTAAGAGAGTACTCAAGTATGAAATAGAAAAAGTAGATTACCTACATAATGAATAGCATTTCATTTAGCATTTTATTTTCCTACTGCATTAAAGTTTACTTCACATATTGATTAAGTGATACATTTTTTCTCTTCAATAGATATACGTATTTCCAACTGACCCTGGTTGAGAAAAATTGCATCTGGGAATCAGAGTTACATAGCATAGCATGCTCTTTATCCAGATAACCAAGGTAGAAAACTTTGGGCAGAGGTTTTAGCACTGGTTGAGGAATTCTTTTTTGATGAAGTCTAATGTTTAAACTGTTTTTTTACAGATATGTTTCAGACCTTACTTACAGATAAAATAGTACTCATTTTATGTCTTAATTCCTTTTCAAAAGTACATTATAGCTTTTGTACTTTACCCTTAAACATCATTTAGATCACAAATGTATAGTTATTGTCTGTTTCTTCTTGTGTGGCTATGTAGGGATATGTTTTCACTCCTGGGTATTTTCTTTAGTTTGTCTTGCTATATCACTATTAGAGAGTGATTTTATTCACCACTCACTAAACATCTATTCTATAGATCTTGGTATATCGACCTCTGTATTCTTTTTGTACTGATTAGATTAACTGGAGAGACTCCTGGTCTCTCTCAGTCTCAGAACCTGCCTGGATTACCGTAGTGTCATGGTTAGGTTTTTCATGAAAGGGCTTAGGGAGTATACAGTTGCTGGTTCTTATATTGATGCTTTTTTGCAGCTAATTTTGAGCTTGTTCAACTTCAAGAAAAACTGAAAGAGACAGAGGAAGCCATGGAAAAATTAATCAACAGAGTGGGACCTAATGGGGAGAGGTAGGTTTTCATCTAATAGGACTCATTTCCCATTTAGGGAATCAATTAAAAATTTTTTTCATTTCTTTGTAATATAGACCACTTATTTTCATTTTGTTTAATTGTAAAATTATTTGTTATTTACATAATCTTGCTGAACATTTCTATTTTTATACTATCAAGCAACTTATTTTTATGAGTTTAGTGTGTCACAAATTATTGTCAGAGTAAGGAAAAATGTGAGTAAATCCTAAAGGATAAAATAATCTGTTTTTAAGAAAGACAGTTTCCTGGCTATCTTAAAAAAAAAGTGTAATTTCAATTAAAACCAGATTGTTGAATATTGTTTTTTCTGTTTGAGACCAGATGACAGAAGAGAGCAACTATCATCACATTAGGCATTTATTTGTGTTTTGTGTTGACTGACTGCCCATAGAGAATTAGACATGTAAAATAGGTGTCAAGAACCATACTAGCCCTTTAAGATGCCCCACAGAGAAGGCACACTCCTTTTGTTACCTTGCTGGCTAAGGATCTGAAAAGGTGGCTGCAAGAGGTTGATAGAAGTGGCAATAACTAAGAATATATAAATATTGGAAGATCCAGGGCAGTAAAACTGGAATGTAAGATTAAGGACAAAGAGGGATTCTGTTTCATCTAGGCCTTCTAACAACAATGTTGGAAGAACTTTGGGGTGAGTGCAAAATCTCATGCAGGAGGATGTATCAAAGGTCCCTTCTGCAGCTTCATGGGCACATTTATGGAGTCTTTGCCCCAGGAAATTGCTGGTGTTCTACCTTACCCTTCTCTTCCATTCCATGTGTGTTGGGGGCAGGGAGAATATAGATACATTGGGGATTGAAAACACCTTACCTCTAAGCTATATTCCCAGCCCCCCACTTGTCATTCTTGATGATACTAGTGCCCCATGTCCCTTTTTCAGCTCACTGGCCCCATCTTTGGCTGGGTAGATGAGTGGCCATTCTTAGGTTGCAGGCTTCTGCCTTGGCATTTCCCTATAATATCTATAGTGCTGCCAAAATTATATTTTTGAGAATGAACCTTGCCTCAATGTAGGCCCAGGAGCCTTGACCTTCTTGTGGTCCAGAAAGCAGTATTTATTACTATCTAGAATATTCTCTAAAGTAGTATATATACAATATATCTGTGTGAGTATATAAATTATAGTTGATTTTAACTAAGTACTTACTAAAGACCATGCTGTGAGGTAATTGTTTTATATAAATTATCCAATGTATGATTGTTTGTATGCGTAACAAAACTAATTACACATCAGTTATATTTCTCTGGCCTTTCTGTCCTTACCCGATTGCTTCTACTCACAGTTACCCAGGCTTTAATAGACCCTCATGCCCTAAAAAAGAAAAAAATTTTACCTGGGCCGTTGAAAATCCCATGCCACACATAGGGTCATGAAAACTGTAGGTGAATATTTATGGGCAGAGCCCTGATTTGTGAGACCCAGCCCTTTGGGCTTTGGAGTAAAAAACTACATGAAGATATTTTCTCATTATTACTCACCGGTACTCACATTCCCTTAGTCCAAATGAAATAATCTACCATCCAACCCATGCATACCATCTGTCTATAGCCCAAGCCGGGAATGTGTACTATAGTCTCTAACTACTATCTGTCCTCTTGTGCCAGGATTAATTTTTATATTTTATGTGTAGAGCTAAGGAAATTTTTCCTGCACAGCAGCCAGAGTTTTACCATCTCATTGTTTCTGGGATCACAGGTCCCAACCTAGAGTGTTTTATTTCTTACAAGATGTTGAGGTGTTGACTCCTTGAAAACATTGATTCTAGCTTCCAAAGTGGAAAGAATATGTAAAAAATTTTCCGCAGTACTTGTCAAGAACTTTGGGGCAGCTCTTCTTCCATGAAAGAGAGCATGACTTCTCACCCTTCCCCAAACTCTTATTTTCTAGTCCATAAGATGTGACTTTCTCTATGACCCTCCTTAGGCCAACACATTTTATCTTTACCAGTAAGCCCTTTAGGAATTTCCATACTCAAAACTGAAGACTAGGAAGCCCATGTTTCTACATTGCTTTCCTTCTTATAGTTTATATCTTTTAACCTTCATTTCTGTGGCATTTGTTCTTTTGTAAATCTATGCTTCTGTAATGATTAGAAGAGCCCAAAATACTCCAGTATTTTTTTCTATCAGATCAGGATTTTATCACAGCTCCAGAGTTCTGGGGATAAAGGAGATTTAAGAGAAAAAAGATATGTTCATTTATAGCCTCCTAAGTCCTTTTATGTGGTTCATTTATAGCTCTGAGATGCTGGCTTAAATTAGAGAAATATGTCTAAAACTTTATCTTATATATTTTATGTAAGAATAGGAATATGGGAAAGGTTTTTAATATTGTCTAATAAAACTTTTCAGACAGCTTTCACCTGTGAGTGGTGTAAGTCTGTACACAAATTTTAATGAAACCTCCTGGAAGTCAGTATTATGCTATTATTAGGCTCATATTAAGAATAACATTTAGCTCAGGAATACAGAATAAGGGAAGGATCCAGGAACCAGAAGCCCTCATTTCTGTCCTTAGGATCAGCAAAATTTCCTTCCAAGAGTCATATGCCCAATTGTAACTATTTACGTGCTAGAAACATGGCATGTCACAAGGAAAACTATGAGGGAGCAACCTCTGATAACGAAGAGCTGTTGTAGACATGTTGAATATGTGTTGAGAATGCTGGTAGATTTCTGGCATGGATTGCTAGAACATAAACTCTGAGGATAAACTTATTCTGTTTTGTTCAGTGTGTTCAGATAGTAGGTACTAAGTATGTACTTGTCAAATAAGAATAGATATCCACTTTTTTTGACATAAGCTTTTGTACATTATTTTCATGATAGAAGAATAAAGCATAGCCATTTCCCATTGGGATTTCTTTTCTTTCCTTGATGAACTCTTTATTCATAACTCTACTGGACAGACATATCTTGTAGGTACCTGTTGTTAGCCTCATCAAATAATAAAAATTTCTTGAATAGATAAATGTCCTAATGTGGAATTTATTTTCCACCCCAATCTAAACCTACTCTGCCTTTAATATTCCCATTTCAGCAGATGGGTCTACCATCTACTTTGTTGCCCAAAGTGGAAATTAAGCATCATGCTTGATCCACCTTTTCCTTTACTTCCCATATCTTATTAATCACCAGGTCTTGCCATTTCCTCCTAATTGGTAATACATTCAGTGTGCAAAAGACTGTAAATTTTTTGAGGGTAAGGATTATCATTCTTAGTTTCTACAGCTTAGCACAGACCCATAATAAGCTCTAAAAAAGTATAGTTGAAATGGAAGAAAGAATGGATGGCTTTGGTTTTGACATAAGTCAGAACTATCTCATGTGATTTCTTTTTCTCTAGTTTTGTCTCCATTCAGGTCACTTTCTGCTTTCCAAAAAGGTGTATTATATAAATTTTTTAAACCTTCAGAAATGCCTTTTGATCTTGAACAGTGCAGAATCTTTATCACGACCTACATAGTCCTGCATACCTCTATTGCTTTATCTTTCTCTGTCACTTTCTCTATGTTCCAGCCAGCCTGACCACTTGATTCTCTAAAACACCTGTGCACCTTTGATTCGAAGACTTTGCATGTACTTTTTCCTTTGCCATCACCCCATCACCACTGCACACTTATTATGACTCTTGCTTGTCTAATAGATCTCAACATAGACATTATTTTCTCTGAGAGTCCTTCCCTGAATCCATAAAACTTGGCTAGTTATTCCTCCCATGTGGTTCCACACCACCTGGTCTTGCTGGGTATTATATGCATCATGTTACTTTCTGATTTTCTTTTAACTTCTGACTTCTCTAATGCTCAGTAAACTTCTTAAGGGCAGAAAATTTTCATTGTCCAAGTTTATATTCCTTGTAAACTGACAATGTTCACATATCTTTAAAAAAAATGAATAAGGTAGATCTAGAGAAAGTACTTTAAAGCAGGAGGCTTTGGAAGTAAAAATATCTTCTTTGGAACCTCTTTTCATTTGCTTTGTGCAGTCCTGTATGGTTAACAGTGGCAAGTATTATTTTCTCTATAAAGACCTGTATGGAAAAGAGGTACTGTGGGAGCCTGAATTAGCTTCTGTAACAAATTACCACAAACCTAATGGCTTAAAACAACACATATTTATAATCTTAATTGTTCTGTAGGTTAGAAGTCTTTTATACTGAATGAAAGTCAAGGTGTTGGTAGGATTGCATTCCCTTTTCAAGGGCTTGGAACAGAATTTGCTTACTCTTTTTGGCTTCTGGAAGCTGCCCATACCCCTTGGCTCCCAGCCCCATTCCTCCATCTTCAAAGATATCAACAGTAGGTTCAAATCTTTTCACATTATATCATTCTGACCTCTTCTACCTCCTTCTTCCCCTTTTAAGGACTCCTGTGATTACATTGTGCCTTCTCAGATAATCCAGGTTAATCTCCCTATTATAAAATCAGCTGATTAGCAAATTTAATTTCATCTACAACTTTAATTTCTCTTACATGTAAGGTATCATATTCATAGATTACAGAGTTTAGGACCTGGATATCTTTGGAGAGTTGAGATGGGTCTTATTCTGCTTTCCACCAAAGGTTTTATAGAAGAGAATTTGAAAAGAGGAATTTGAATAAGCCTTACAATATGGAAGGATTGCTGTAGGCAGAGTATAGGAAAATAATGTTTCAGAGGGAGAAGGCAGCACAAGAAGAAAAGGTAGAAGAATCAAAGCAAGTTTTTGGAATAGCAAATAGTTCTAAGGAATGGGGGTAGAATATACTAGGGATGGGGTAAATGGGTAAAGAGGTAAGTAGGTATTGAGAGAATGTGAAAAGTAAACTGAAGCCATATACTAAGGTCCTGAATAGTATGCTGAGAAATTTAGAATTAATTCTTTATAGAGGGGTACCTCTGAAGACTTTGGAAGAGAAATGTCATGAAATTCTATATTTAGAAAAATTGATCTTACAATGAAATGTAGAATGGTTACATGTTAGAAGGTTATTTAAACATTTCTAGCAAAAGGTAATAAATAGACCAGAGTAGAAAATGAAGGGGATTTCATGGAAGAACAAAATCACAGGTTTTATCAGGATTTCTTGTTGTAAGCAACCAACTCTGGCTAGCAAAAATTTGTAGGAGAGAGGGCAGATTATATTGGAAGAATATGAAATAGTTTACAATATCAAAAGAACAGCTAAAATGTATTAAAACGGAAGGGGGAAAAAAAGGAACAGCTAAATATCCAGGTTTTAGGAAGGGTGGTAACCAGAGCACCTCTTGGGCAGGAATAAAGAAACAGTCTTCAAAAGTAATGAATAGACCAGTCAGAGACTAGCTACCAAGATATATTAACACCAAAAGTATTCAATTCAGGCTTCACTGTGTTCAAGATCCAGTTTTGGGAGAAAGTACAGTTGGTCCAGCTTGATCCTGGATCTATCAATCAATCAAAATCACTGCAGCCAAGAGAGGATGGAATCTGATGAATAGCCACTTGGCCACCCTCAAAGGAGAGGTAAGGGGATGAATGGTTTTACTTAACCTTTGCACCATGAGTGGAAGAAAAGTTGGTCTGCAAAGGAAACCTACTAACTAGGTAAGAGAAGAAAAGGAGGAGAAAGACAAGAAAATGAATTAAAGATTTTCAGCTTTTACTGGAAGGAGATTCTGGCATTAACCAAGATAAACCATAGGAGAAAGAAGATAAGACTTCGAGATAGGGAGCATGAGTTCAACTTTGAATGTGGTTGAGATACCATCAGAATATCCAGATATTATATATAATAGCAGTAGTAAATTTGGGTTGTGAGGTCAGAACAAAGGACTTAGGTTTGGAAGTCATTTGCTGGGGGTAAGAGATAGAGACTATGGGGAAAGAGGAGATCACCAAATCCTTGAGGCCTCTCATACTCTACTGTAGTAGACTGCAGTCTCTTTCTGTTTGATTTTTATTCTACATTATTCTATGAATGGTGTTTTTAGAGTCTATTTTATTTTCTCTCTATTTAACTCTTGAGTTCAGAACTTAATGACTATTTTGGCTAAAAGTCTGTGATATTATCTCCCACCTGTTACTTTTCATTTTACTAGCATCTCAAAATCTGCCATACTCAATCTTTCCAGGCTGCTGTTCATTCTGTTGCTTGTGATCCTGGGCCAGCTGGGTCCTGGTTTTGAATAGTGAAATTAAGATTAATTTAAGGTGTAATATAGTGACAAGGCCACCAAGTGGAAATGCCCAGGAGATAGTTCCAAGATGGATCTTTGTATATAAAAAGTAAGATTAGGACTTTTGTGTGTGTGTGTGTGTGTGTGTGTGTGTGTGTGTGTGTGTGTGTGTTGCTGGGGATTGAACCCAGGGCTTCACACATTTTAGGCAAGCATTTTATCACCAAGCTACATTCCCAGCCTGAATTAGGTTATCTTCTGCGTAGAGGTAAAGATTTATTCCTTGATATTGGTTCAGCTTCTTGAGGCCAAGGATTATAATGGATAAGTGAGAGTTCTCAGATTGAGCCTCAGAGAAAACCATTTTTAGGTGAAAGAAGGATTACAGGTGAGCCAGGATTAAAGTTAAAGGCAATAGTTAAAAGAAGTGAGAAGAATGCAGATATTTCAATGGCCAAGGAAGGTGAGGAGTTTCATGAGAAGGATGGTTTACAGTATAGAAAAGCCAAAAAGAATGAACTGGGAGAAAGAAACCCTGGGGCTTAGAAGTGGTGACTGATGATTTTTAAAGTTTTTGTGAAAATAATGAGATGGAAGCCAGATTTCAGGGAGGTGGAAGAAAACAGTACGGATTTTGGGAACCAGTCCAACTATTAATAGATACTTATTAAGCACTTAAAATGATCATGGCACTGTGCCTGTTTTGTTGTGAACATATTATCACTGCCCTCCAAGACAATCAATTCAAGTTGAGAAATAAGGAATCCATGAAAACATTCATTGTAGGAAATTCAGAAGACATTCTAATGTGGACCATAGTTAACTGACTAATACATTTAATGTGAGTATGCTTGTTCCAAGTTAAAAGAGGATGGCTTTATTTGGAATTTTTGTCTGTTCCTGTTTCTCTGAGCCTAGCCATTCTTTTTTGTTTAAGGATTTCTAACTTTCCATGAGTTAGGAAGCAGAGATTCAAGATTATTTCATTCAGTAAACATCAGAATGCTCCTGCATATAGTCTAGAGAAGTAGCCTGTGAAGCCTGCAGGCCAGAACTCTGAGGTAGGCTCTTCTGGTCTACCTTTGACTACTTCTACGGAGTGGGTTATTTCAGCAGTAAGAGTTAGGGGCTTTGTGAGGCCCCGGTTCAGTCCTGGTGAGTTAGGACTCCTGTACTAATGAATAGAATTATAAAAGATCCTATAAGATTCTAGCTGAAAGTAGAATGGATAGATTCTTCAGTTCAAGATTTTGAAGCCATTTTGTGTGGAAGGACTGGAGCTCATCATGGTGTTTTTGTTTTCTTCCCACTGAGACTGGTAGAAATGTCACACCTTCATTTTCCTCATTTACTATCTTAATTAATAAGCTGTAAACTAATGAAGGAGTCTCGGTTTTATAGTTTACAATGAGGGTGAATTAATGATTGGTGACGGAGGCAAAGTGTGGGCAGTCAGGAAAAAAGTTGTAGAAAGTACAAAACTCATTGTCACTGGGAAAAGCTTAGAACTCAGTGTTCACTGCTTATGTTCTTCCTCTAGGACCCATTGTTACCCAGAGCATTACTATTTGCTTTTCTTCTTCCAGGACTCATCAGCAATGGGAAAGGGTAAAAGTTCAGGGCCCAGCATTTCAGTATTCGCCTCCTCCTTCAGGACCCATTGTGGCCGGGAAAGGATGAATGTTTGCTTTTGGTGGAGATGCTGGGGAAGCCCAGGAAGGGATGAAAGTTTTCTTTCTTTCCCTGGGGCCCATTGTTATTGGGAAAGGATTTACTGGGAGAGGATTAATGATTGCCTTCCTCCTCCATCTTCCTCTGGGTCAGACAGTTTTGGGGGGTTTGTTGTCATTTCCCTGTTGTCAACCTGGGGGTTGTCATTTTTCATATCCTTTAGATTTTTAGATTTTCCTTTTCTCTTTTAGTCATTAAGGCTAAAATTTGTTAAGCTGATCATAAAACATGAATGTAGGCCCAGAACAAACTAGTGAGAAGAATAGAGGGCACCTTCATGAGGCTCACACAGACATTATTATGTTAATTGCACAGAATATTATGTTAATTTGGAATGTTCAGATTTAAAGGAGAAAATAAAAAATTGAAATCTGAAATCCTGCCACTAGATAAAATTGGTCTCAACTGTCTTTACATGTGATATAGTGCTTTCTTAAAGAACTGATCATACTGTTATTCTTGAGCTTCATATTATTTTTGCAAATATTTGTTTAGAGCCACACAGCCAAGTTGAGACTCAAACCAGGTTTTTTGAACTGTGGAGCCTGAGCATTGTGTTTCAGGAATTGCACAGAAGGGCTGGAGTGTGGCTTAATGGTAGAGCACTTGCTTAGCTTATATAAGGTTCTGAGTTTGATCCTGAGCAACACACACAGAGAATACTATTAGAAATCACATTAGTCTTGGTTATAATGCTGCCATTTACTAGGATTAGGGAATCCAGGCAGTGAGTTATACTGAAAGATCACTGGACTAAAGGCTAAGACATTTGGGGTTTTATCCCCAGTATTGACATTAACTCATTGTGGGACTTGGGTAATCCCTTTTCTTCCCTGATCTATTCTTGGCCTTAGATTTCCCATTTTTAAGATAAAAATGTTGAGCTAACATTAGTCATGCAGTTCTAGGATCCAGACAGATCATAGTGATGTTTCTGCCCATTACCTCAGAGTATTTACTGCTAAATGGCTGGATTGTCTGATACTTTCTAAGCAGAGTACAGTCTGTGACTTCTGACCAAGAGAAACGATTGCTGCATCAGCTCCGAGAAATTACCAGGGTCATGAAAGAAGGAAAGTTTATTGACAGACCCACTCCAGAGAAAGAAGCTGAGGAAGCCCCTTACATGGAGGACTGGGAAGGTAAGGAGTCTCTTTTCATTTCTTCATTAGTTGTCAACCCAGAAAAGAGAGCTTACAATTTTTTAAAAAATTCAATTCTATTATTGAGGTATAATTTAATAATTTAATTTAAAATATACAGTTGGATGAGTTTTGACAAGTGTATATAGTTGTATAATCATACCACAAAGTTTTGGTATAGTGCTGTGACCTGTACAGCATAAACAAAGGATCTCTAGTAGGGGTGACAGGAGATTAAGAAAAACATGGAGACAAAGAAAAAGAGAGATATTTTTAAGCAAAGCTGGGGCCAGGTGGGATGGTGCCCTCTGATGGAAGAATAGTAACCCAGAACTAGCTCTGCAAGTTTATCTTATAGGGTCTAATAATCAGGGAATTTAACTATAGTGGTATTGTAAATTGTTCAAGGCTTGTGAGTTATCAGGAGGCTTCTTTGTGTACTAAAAAGTTAGAGAGCTAGAAACATTTTTGTGGCACCCAGAAAACCCATTGTACTGGAATGTCTGATAACTATCACTAGCATTAAAGCCAGGTATCAAGGCTGTTTGCATCCTTGCCTTTTGGCAAGGAATGTTTCCCAGGCTTGGCTTTTGCCTATACCACAGGATTATCCAATAACCAGGCTCATCTGCTCTCCCCAGTATAGGACATTTCTATCACCCTAGAAAGTTCCCTTCTACCTCTGGCAAAAACTGAACTACTTTCTGTTCCTGTTGTTTTGCTTGTATAATATAAATAGATCTTACTGTTTATGCTTTTTGGCTTATGGCTTCTCTGATTTAACCAATGATTTTTAGATTAATATGTGTTGTTGAATGTATCTGTAATTCTTTATTTTTTATTGCTTAATAGTATTCTGTTATGTGAACATACCATAATTTGTTCATCCCTTCTCCAATTGAGGAACACTTGGGTTGTTTTTAGCTTTCAACTATTATAAGTAAGTTGCTACAAAATTTTTATATGCAAGGCTTTGTTTGGCCATAAATTGGTATTTCTTTGAAATATATACTTAGGAGTGACATTTCTAAGGTTTGTGGTAAGTGTATGTTTAACTTCATTAGAGCTGTCAACTTGCTTTCCAAAGTGGCTCTAACATTTTCCCTTTTCATCAGCAATATGTGAAAATTCATTTACTCCACATCTTTGCTAACTTGTGGTATTATCAGTCTTTTTAATTTTAGCCACTCTAGTGAGTATATAGTGGTATCTCAATTGTGAATTTAATTTGCATCTCTCCATTGACTAATGATGATGAATATTTTTTTCATGTGCTTATTTGCCATTTGTATGTCTTTGATGAGGTGTTCATTCCAATTGTTGGCCATTTTTTAAATTATGTTCTTATTGACATTATGTTCTTACTGAGTTGCAAAAATTCTGTGTATGTCCCTGAATACAATCCTTTATCAGTTAAATATTTTGCAAATATTTGCAAAATATTTGCAAAATCCATGGCTTGCTTTTTTATTTTCTTAACATTTTTAAAAGAGGAGAAGTCTTTCTTAACACCCCCAAAAAATAATCCAACCAGTAAATTAGACAAAGGAATTGAATAGGCACTTCACAGAAGAAGAAATACAAATGGTCAACAAATGTATGAAAAAATTCAATTCTATTATTGAGATATAATATAATAATTTAATTTTAAATATACAGTTTGGATGAGTTTTGACAAGTGTATATAGTTGTGTAATCATACCACAATCTTGGTATAATGCTGCGACCTGTATAGCATAGCAATTAGAGAAATGCAAATTAAAACTACACTGATATTCCATCTCAGTCAGAATGGCAATTTTCAAGAATACAAGTAATAATAAATGTTGGTGAGGATGTGGGGGGAAAGGCATACTCTTACATTGCTGGTAGGACTGCAAATTGGTGCAGCCCCTCTGGAAAGAAGTGTGGAGATTCCTCAGAAAACTTGGAATGGAACCACCATTTGACCCAATTTTCTAATCCTCTGAATATACTCAAAAGTCTTAAAATCAGCATACTACATGATGCAGCCACATCAATATTTATAGCAGCTTAGTTCACAATAGCTAAGCATTGGAACCACCCTAGTGCCCTTCAACAGATGATTGGATAAAGAAAACGTATTATATATACACACGGAATATTACTCAGCCATAAAGAAGAATGAAATTATTGCATTTGCAGGTAAATAAAACTAGAGACTATCATGCTAAGTAAAATAAGGCAGCCCCAAAAAACCAAAGGCCAAGAGGCTAGAGTAGTGGTTCAGTGATAGAGTGCTTGCCTGGCATGTGTGAGGCTCTGGGTTCAATCCTCAGTACCACATATACATAAATAAATAAATAAAAGATTCATTGACAACTAAAAAATATATACACACACACATACATACACACACTAAAGGCCAAATGTTCTCACTGATATGTGGATGCTAACACAATATCAGGTAGGAGGAAAGAATAAAAGTTCAGTGGATTAGATAAAGAGGAATGAAGGGAAGGGAGAAGGGATAGGAATAGGAAAGACAGTAGACTGACATAATTTTCCTATGTTCATATATGAATATATGGCCACTGAAACTTCACATTATGTACAACCATTAGAATGTGGTACCCACATCCTCCATATATTTATAGTATCTCAAAATACACTCTTCTGTCATATATGTCTTAAAAGAACAAATTTTAAAAAATAGTTTCTGGGGACAGTAAACAGAATTTTCAAAGATCAATTATATTTGGAATAATGACATTTAAAGACATTAATTTATAGAAATTTAAAATACTTAAATAAGATATCAAAGGCTGGGGCTGTAGCTCAGTGGTGGAGTGCTTGCCTCACAAGGGTGAGGCACTGGGTTTGATCCTTAGCACCACATAAAAATAAATAAAGGTATCGTGTATCTACAAATATATATGAAATAAGGTATTAGAAGTGTTTAGCATTTGTCATAAAAGCAAAACGAAACAAAAACTTTCAGGTTTTTGGCAAAAAGAAAGAAATGACTGGTTTTAATACTTGAAATAGAAAATAGGTATACAGGTTGATACCTGGTTTTGCTGATATGAAGAAGCTGGACAGTTGGGTCCAAGGAAATACTTTTCATTAATGTATTTGTTTTTAATGTATATAGATTTTTTTCTCTCTTTGTTTTTCCCTGTAAGTTATTCTTCAGAACTGCTCAATTCAGTCCAGCACATAAGGTCCATGCTAAAATGAAAACAAATAAAAATCTAAAAAAAGAGAAGTTTTTAATTCTGATGAAGTCTAGTTATTTTTTTTAATAATTTATATTTTTGGTGTATTCTGTTTAAGAAATCTTTGCCCAATCCAAGATTTTTCTAGCTTCTATTTTTTCTTCTAGAAATTGTATGGTTTTAGCTTTTATACTTAGGCTTGTGATCTCTTTTGAGTTAATTTTTATATATGGTATGAAGTATCAGGACCTAGTTTTATATTTTACTTATCAGTAGCAGTTACTCCAGTTTCTTTTGATACATTTAGTTACTTTGGCACATTGATTGAAAATCAGTTGACCATGTGTATATATGTCTATTTTGGACTTTATTCTGTTCCACTGATCTCTGTCGTATCACAATGCCTCTATTACTGTGTCTTTATACTAACTCTTGAAATCAGGTAGTTACAGGTTCTTTAATTATCTTCCAAAATTATTTTGGCTATTCTAAGATTTTTCACATTTTCATATGAATTTATAGTCAAAGGTAGTTGTTTGATGACAAAGTTTGATGGTATTTTGATTGATATTGCATTAAATCTTTTGATCAATTTGTAAGAATTGATATTGTAACTATATCGAATCTTCATTCCATGAACTTGTTATATCTCTCTACTTATTTAAATATTTAAAAATTTCCCTTAGCAATGTTTGAAGTTTTCAGTATATAGGTCTTTTTTTCCAATGTATAGGTCTTGCACATGCTTTATAATTTGTCTTTAAGTAGTAATATCATAAATGATATTTTTAAAATTTTAATTGCTACTAGAGCAGTAGAAATACGATTGATTTTTGTATTCTGACCTTTTATCCTGTGACCTTGCTAAATGCACTTAGTTCTGATAGCTTTAAAAAATATACACAGCCACTTAAGACTAGTTCCTTAGGATTTTCTGTGTAGATGATCAAATTGGCTATGAATTTCACTTCCTTTCTAGCCTATATCCCTTTTGTTTATTTATTTTCTTGCCTTTCTGCATAGCTAAGTCTCCACAATAATGCTGAACAGAAATGGTAAAAGCAAATTTCCTTGCTTTCTGGTATCAGGAGAAAAGCACTCATATGCTCCTTAGGTACTCCTTTTCAGGTCGAGGAAGCTACTTTCTGATCTTATTTTTCTGAAAGCTATTAAACATAAACTGGTATTGAATTTTTAAAAAATCAACTGAGATGATTATAGTTTTGTCAGTTAATGTGGTGAATTACATTTTTAAAAAAATGGCTGTGGTTCTGGGGATTGAAGTTCCCAGCCCCTGCATTGATTTTTAAATGTTAAAAGTTTTGTATTCCTGTGATAAGCCCTATTTTGATGTGATGATATAAATGGCTATTTAATAGGCAAAGATTTTTTTTAATGTCTGGTTTATGAGGGCTATTTATCAGTGATTTTCTTTTCCTGTAATGTCAGTGGTCTTTATTTCAAGATAATGGTGGCCTTTCAAAATGTATTGGGATATATTCTGTTTTCTGGAAGAGTTTGTGTAGAGGTAACATTATTTCTTTCATAAACATTAGGTGGAATTCTCCAATGATGCTATCTGGGCCAGGAGTTTTCTTTATCGAAAACTCACTATGATTTGAATATCTATAATAGAAATAGTGCTATTAAGGTTATCTAGGTTTCCTTGAATGGACTTTGATAGTTTGTATCTTTCGAGGAATTTACATATTTCATCCAGGTTATCAAATCTGTTAGGGTAAAGTTTTTTTGTAATAGTCCCTTGTAATCCATTTAATGTATGTAATATCTGTAGGGATGTGCCCTGTTCTGTTTCTTATATTTCTCTTATTTCTTTTCCTAATCAGACTGGCCCAGAGGTTTATCAACTTTGTTGATCTTTTTAAAGAACTGTATTTTGATTTTATTTCTGTTTCCTATTCCATTGACTTCTCTTTCCTTTCTTCTGCCTCTTGGAGTTTAATTTGCTATTCTTTTTCTGGTTTCTTAAGGTGGAAGGTTAGATCCATGATCAGTTTTTTTTTTTTTTAACCATTATTTCATTAGTAGTCTGTTTCTGTCATCTTCTTCTAGCTTTCTAATGGTACACATGTTTGCTATTTCCCCACATGTCACATATGGTTTGTTCATTTGTTTCTGTCATTTTTACTCACCATGCTTAATTTGAATAGTGTCTCTTGTTGCATCTTCCAGCTTATTGCTCTTTCCTTCTATAGTACTCTAACATGCTGTTAATCCTATTCAATGTATTTTTGATCCTAACATTGTATTGTTATCTCTAGAAGTTCCATTTGGGAACTTCCACTTCATATCTTTCATTTCACTCCTTATCTATTCATATTTTCTTCTTAAACATCTGAGTCATATTTTAATAGCTGTTGTATTTTCCCAATGCTTAGTAATGTTGGGTGTTTTTTAATATCTGTTGGACATTTGCATGTCTTGTGAGAATTATCTGTTCAATTTTTTTGCCCATTTTTATAGTTGGGTGATTTGTTTTCAGGCTTTTGAGTTGTTTGAGTTCCTTATGAATTTCGGAAATTAATTCCTTATCAGATATGTGGTTTGCATATATTTTCTTCTGTTTTTAGGCTATCTTTTCACTCTGTTGTTTACTTCATTCTTCAGAAACTTTTTTTTAATATTTTTTTTTAGTTGTTGATGGACACCATATCTTTATATCATTTATTTATCTTTATGTGGTGCTGAGGATCAAACCCAGGGCCTCACACTTCCTAGGCAAGCACTCTCCTACTGAGCTACAATCCCAGCCCCTGCAGAAGCTTTTTAATTTCATATAATTGCCTAGGCTTTTGGGGTCATATCCAAAAATATTGCCCAGACCAGTATCATGTAACTTTTTCCCTGTTTAGTCCTAGTAGTTTTATATTTTCAGGTCTTACATTTAAGACTTTGATCCATTTTGAGTTAATTTTTGCATATGATGTGAGATGAAGGTCTGATTTCACTTTTCTGCATGTGGATATATCCAGATTGTTGTTAAGAAATTATTTAATTAACTGATTCAATCTCCTTATTCATTATTTGTCTGTTTAGATTTTCTATTTCTTTCTAATTCAGTCCTGGTAGTTTGTATATATCTAGCAATTTATATATATATGTATAAATATAGCAATATTTATATATATCTAGCAATTTACTATATCTCTTTGTCGAATTGACTATTATTATATAATGACCTTCTTTGTCTTGTTATTACTTAACATCTGTTTTATCTAAATATTAGCATCTACTGTTTGTCTTTTTTACATCCTTTTCTTTGAACCTGTGTGTGTTTTTTAAAGGTGAAGTGTTTTGTAGGCAGCATGTAATTGGGTCTTTTGTTTCTTAAATATATTCAACACATTGTATGTTGGTCTGCTTACTTGAATAGCAGATTTATTCTAGTCTTTGTGTACTGACTTTTTCTGGACAGGCCATTTGTCATGGTCCATGGTGGGCTTGTTGATGGAGTCTTCAGGCTGACTGATCTGGTGCCGAGTCTTTGTAGTTGGGCCTAGAGCCTGGATCCACTGGCATCACCCTATTGACTGAGTTCTAGGGGATGGGCCTGGAACCTGGGTTTACAAGGGTAGGCCTAGAATCTTTATCTGTGGTGGTCTGGCCTGAAGCTTAAGTCCAAGTGGCTGACCTGGGGCTGGAGTTGTTCTTAAGACTGAGACTGCAGAAGGCAGCCAGGTTCTATGGTGGGCCTGGTGCTTGGTCCCTCAGGAATAAGCCTAGAGCCTGAGTCTGCAGCTTGGATTGGTGCTGCGCAGTTTTGGAGCCTGAATATATGCAGGGGATAGGCCTGAAAACTGGGGCCATGAGGGCTGACCTGGATCCTAGTGTTGCAAGGCTGACCTAGAACCTGAGTCCACAGAGGTGATCCTGGGGTCTGGTGTTAAAGGGACTGGTCCAGCACTAGGGTCTGTTGGGATGGGCCTGGATCCTGGGTGTGTTGGACTATGGAGATATAGTGGCTAGCTTATGGGTGGGTCTTATGGGGCCTGGCCTAGAACTGGGTAGTTGGACTGCACTTAGAGCCCAAGTCTTCTTAAACCATAGTCAAAATTCAAAAGTAAGCTTTGTTCTAGGTATAGGCTGAAGGAAAGGACATACAGCAAATAGACTTCTCCGAAGCATTTAGTAGCTGAGACCTAACTAGCAAGCAGGCTTCCCTAGCCCTGCTGTTGACCAAGTAGGTGGTGAAGGCCTTGTGTAGCTGTTTTAGTCCATTTTCTATTGCTATAACCTAATACTACAGGCTGGATAATTGATAAAGAGATTTGTTTAGCTCATGGTTTGGAAGTACAAGATGATGGTGTCAGCATCTGCTTGTCATCTGGTGAAGTCTTTTTTTACTGGATCTGACATGTTGTCAAAGGTAAAGACTGAGTAAGTTTGCCTACTCTTCTTATAAAGCCATTAATGCCAATCTGGAGACCCTACCTCATGACCTCATTTAATTCTAATTATTTCCCAAATGGCTTGTCTCTAAATACAATTAACATATGACTGGGGAGAATAAAAATTGTGGAATTTGCAGGTAAGTGGATGGAGTTGGAATATCATGCTAAGTGAAGTAAGCCAATCCCCCCAAAACCCAAAGGCCAAATGTTTTCTCTGATATGTGGATGCTGATCCATAGTGGGGGCAGGGGTGGGGAGCATGGGAACAATGGAGGAACTTTAGATAGGGCCGGGGCAGGGGATGGAGGAGATGGGACAAGGGGGTAGGAAAGACAGTGGAATGAAATGGACATCGTTACCCTAAGTACCTGTATGAAGACACAAATGGTGTGACTCTACTTTGTGTATAACCAGAGATATGAAAAATTGCGCTCTATACGTGTACTATAAATTGAAATGCATTCTGCTGTTATATAAAACAAATTAGAATAAATAAATAAAATTTTAAAAACATATGACTTTGGGGATTAAATTTCAACATGAGTTTTGGAGGGGGCAAACACCTAGACCACAGGAATTGTTAAACTAGCATTTTGTTCACACTAATTTCATCCTGGGAATAAAGACTGCTTTGGCAAGATTCTACTACTGTCAGTGCTAGCAAGAATGTGATAAGATGGACAGTTTTTTACATCACTGGTAGGACTGAATTTTTATACCACTCTTCTGGAAAGTAATTTGGCAGAGTATTAAAAGGGCTTTTAAAATGTCTGTTCTCTTTGGTCTAGTTTTCATATTTATAGAAGTCTGTCTTAAAGAATCAGGAAAGTGAACATGAATTTATATTCAGAGCTCTTAACTGCTATGTTACTTATAATAGGGGAAAGTTGAAAAGAATCTGAATGTCTAACATAAGAAGAATGGTAAATCATGTCAGTTGTATAGCTACATGATGAAATATTTTGCAGCAAACTTTCAAATGCCTAACTTTCAAATGACGCTGGAAAATGTTCATGAAACAAGGTTGAATGAAAACTCAACATTTCATATGCAGTATGATCCTTTATTTAAATAAAGAAAAAAAAATGTATAAACATTTATATATGGTAAAAAGACCAGAGGTAAATACAACAAATTATCATCAGTGGTGGGATTATGGGTGATTTGTTTTCTTTTTTAAACATGTCTGTATTGTTTCAGATTTTCTGCAGTGAGTCTATATGCCTTCTATAATCAGAAAAAAAAAAACAGTAAATGTTATAAAAATGTCTCTGCATATGCTACACTGAACCAAAAAAGACTGTTATTTTTCACAATTGGTGGGCAAAAAGTGGTTTATGTTAGAGTTGAATTTGCCAGTTATCATAATGTGCAAATGGATTTTGAATTCTCCAGCTTTTCACATTGTGTAGTGAGTATGGCCCATGTTGCCAGCTCAGGCATATGAGCTCCAGCACGGCCCATCTGCTGCTCAAGCTTGGCTTGGCTGACACAGATTTATTTCATTTCATTCCTTAATTTGGCAATGTTTTCTCTTTTCTCATTATCATAGCTAGGATTCAGAATCAGTGTTACTCATTTTGCTTACCAGTTTGTTTTCTTCCATTTTGTGAAGACGAAGAAGCCAACAATGGACTTCTGTCTTCTGAAAATGCAGTGCTTGTCCTTTGGGATCTTGGGCATGTATTGCTAAAGTGCCCTCTGTTTCTGATGCTTGCAAGCCATTTCAATTGTTTTGATAAGTAGAAAATTTCATGGTGTATTTTTCAAAGAGCTTAGTGTTCTTCTCCTCCCACCCCCACCTCAGAAGATTTGGAAATGATTCCAAATAGAAATTATAAACATTAGCCTTAAGCTAAGCTCTCTCCATCTGGTATTTGATGCATTTTTAAACTGCAGGCTCATGTTATTTGTTCAGTCTTCATCAATACTGCAAAAGCACATGGAGTGAGACTGAACTCTGTCCCAAGCACCCTACACTAAGAAAGGATTTTTCCTCTGAATTGGTTTGTATTTCAGAGAGCCCTGGGATAGTCAGCTAGATCGCTAGGAATTTGTTCAGTTGAAACTTTAGAACTATTAGAATCATCTTAGAGATTTCTTGAATGTGTTTGTTAGGATATGATGGCCATTGCTTGAGAATCCCCTCTGAGCCTAATCCTTTTTTTGAAGAGACAGTCTTTGTAAGATTTTGTGCTGCTTTTCTCTCTAGGTTACCCAGAAGAAACTTATCCAATTTATGACCTTTCAGACTGTATCAAACGTAGACAAGAAACAATCCTGGTGGATTACCCTGATCCAAAAGAGCCCTCTGCTGAAGAAATAGCTGAAAGAATGGAAGTGATGGAAGAGGAAGAATCAGACCACTTGGGTTGGGAAGGTCTGCCCACTGACCCAAGAACCCAGGAGGATAATTCTGTTATCTTGTGTGACCCAAAGCCAGAAACATGCTCCTGCTGTTTTCATGAAGAAGATCCTGCTGTCTTGGCAGAGAATGCTGGATTCAGTGCAGATAGCTACAGTGAGCAAGAGGAAGCCTCCAAAGAGGACTCTCCTGAAGACTTTAGAGATGAAGGGTTGGGCATTGATGCTGATAAAACATTTATAAGTGGCGTGTTGAGGAAGCGTAATCCCCAGGGTTTAGAGTGAAAGCAGCCAGTTTGGTGAAGTATCCATTACTTTAGTCCCAAGGTGACCTTTCTCTTCTCTCTGATTTCATCCTTGGCGTCATGCCCTGTACTTTCTTTTCTGTGTTCAGATGTCATAGCTATCAGGCCACTACCATGGATATCATGTATCCTTCCTGGTGCTTACACACCTGTCACCTTGTAAAACATAGTCATTAGTATAAACACAGGATAGCTTTACTCACTCTTCCTCTTCCTGTTTTTTCCCCCATCAGGGAAGTTGATCCATGGAATAATTGTTTGGTCTACCATATAGTTACATATGAGACTATCAAAAGATCTGACTCTTCCTGCTAGGAGCAACAGGTTTACCTGTGAATGAAGTCAGTTACAGATGATGAGGACTTAAGGTGGTAAAAGTGAAGATTTCGGACTTCAGGATGCCTTATTCTTTGGGTCTTGAGCAGGATAGTGGTCCTCTGGGGAGAAGTGATCATTTTCTTTGTGTGGCCCATGGTCCTAGAGCAGAGCAAGACTCTGCTGGCTGAGCTGAAACTTCTTCATTCAGTGAGGGTCTTTCTCAAAACACTGATGCCCAGACATTCTCTTTTCTCAAACAAACATCCTCTTTTCTCCGGAATAATGGAAGACTTACCACTGACCTGTGAATGAGCCTGCAGGCCTATTTGGGTATTGTTTTGCTCTGACATGGCCTGGTTTTCTAGCTTCCTTTCTATTCTGCTATTCTATCCCCTTTTCTGCTTAAAAGACCAGGGAAACCAAGAGGCATCTTTGTACCTCTGGTCTTCAGCAGCCAGAGGAAGCTTTAGAGACTTTAGTCCCTGCCCTACAGGGGCTGTTTGGGCTCTGGGAAGGCCTGCCCAAGTGTAGTGATCCTGCTGAGAAGAGCTCAGAATGTCAGGGATCCAGTAATAAGAGAACCTGTGCACTCTTGGATAGTCCTTGCCTCAAAGCTGTTTCTTAACATTGTGCCCATTGGGAAATGTGTTCTCAAAACGGCATGAATCAAGACAGAAATGAGGACTGAGCTTGTACACAAAGTGCCAACATAGCAGGGAAGTTGCACAGTTATCCATCACAGAGAACCAATATAGCCATGCCTTGGGGAAGAAACCATGTGTTCTCTATTTGAATGTTTGGGTCTTTTGAGAGAGCTGGGGAATGTAGGAAGTAAATTAGGACTGGGAAGATTTTGACCAGGCTGGAAACGTGTTTTAAGCTACCATTCAGCTCTTGAGACAAGATGGCACCTATGAATTCTGACAAAAAGGATGAGTGAATTCAGTTTATATGTAAGACCTGAGAGTTTAAGAGGACATGTTCCTGAGGACATTTTATCACATTATAAAAATGAGAAAGATGGAAAGAAGGAAATTGTATGAAGGTAGATATAGATTTTAGAGTTCCTTTGTGCCTGGCACAAATATGATGCCCAGAATATAGTTAAAATCACACGTGTAAGCTTAGACTACTGTCAGAAAGTATGTCAGTTACTACAAGGCATTACTTGTTAATTGAACTGTACATAAAAGTCAATGAAGATTGAGTCCTTAGAAAGAAGACCACAATGCATTTATCTCTGTGTAGAAAATTTGTTTTACATTATAAAGAATGCTATTTGAAATGTACAGAAGACAACCTAGAATGCCATGTAATACTAAAGGTAAAAATAATGTAGGGTCTTCTTCACCATTTGGTAAATTGTTTTCTGTGTGATTTTCCTTCATTCACCATGAGGGGCTGATTTATAAGTAAAGCCCTGGGTCTCTGGTTTAAATTTCTTTTTTGCCTTAGGATGTGATTCCCTTACTAGAAATAAGTACTTTTGTTTTCCTTTCAATTATTCATCCAGTCATTCATTTAGAATGAATTCATTTAAAACTTAACAGCCAACTGCTCAGTGCTAGGTACTAGGAACAGAAGATTCAGTTCCTACTTTTAAAACAGACAAAAAACCCCACTTCAATTTAACATAGGAGCCTGACAGATAAAATGAACTATGAACTGTGAGACGACTCAAGATTGTGAATTCTGCAGGCAGAGGAAAATGGGTCATGATCTTTCCCTATATACTCTAGCTATAGAACCTTGGGTCAGCTCCTTGGGCAGTCTGAGCCTTGGCATTTTCATCTATAAAGCATAATAAAAGTCCAGGTCTCACAAGGTTTTATGTATTAAATGAAATCATCAGTGCATTTAAAATGGCATTGCTTCTAATTCATGCATGATAACCACTCATTGAGTAATAGCTGTTTTATTATACAGTGTTTTACGCTGTGATTTGGTATGGACCCAAAACTACAGGAACATTAAGGAAAGAGAAATATTGCCAAAACCGCTTCCAAGAAACTTTTCAGAGGTGGACCTTGGGGTATGCCAAGAATTTCTCCAGTGGGCAAGGAAATAGTATTAGCAAAAGCAATGAAGTAGAAAGTATTTGGATATTCAGGTATCTTGATGAGGCTGGTGTGTAAAGTGTTGCATAACCAGTCTTGTGATACCCTATGGGAAAAATAGCTTATGGAAATAGTTCCTGCCAAAAGCATTAAACCCTCATCATGGCTCCTGCTACCTAGATCTTAGATAAACCAACTATCAGGAATATATTTGTTTCTGTATCAAAAATTTTAGCGTAACTTTTAGTTATTTAGGATTTAGACAATGTTTTTTGGATTTTCTGAATTATTTTATCCTTTAGGAATGACAATTCTGTGTGTGTGTGTGTGTGTGTGTGTGTGTAAAAAACTTAGGGTTACCAAAATTATGAGACTGATGTGTCTTCATTTCTCAGAATGAAAGGACTAAAATTTGATCACTCCCCTGGCACTAGGTTTGTAGTGACCTTTAGGTATTGTGGCAGAGTACACAAAGCATCAATTAGGGGGCAGATAATTGGCCTAATCAACAATACGTTATCTGGGATCATGCTTGGTAAAGCAGTAGGTAATCCAGCCAGGAGATCCCTTATCCTAGTCACACCAGCAACACAAGGAAAGCATCTTATTTGCTCCAGAAGTTGGGTCCAGAGAAGTATGCTGAAGAAGTATATTTGGCCTCTAGAAATAATGGCTTTAAGAACCACATTCTTGCTGGGTGTCGTGGCACACACCTGTAATCCCAGAAGTTTGGGAGGCTGAGACAGGAGGATTGTGAGTTCAAAGCAACTCAGTGAGACCTGAGACCTTGTCTCTAAATAAAATACAAAAAATAAGGCTGGGGATGTGTTTCAGAGGTTGAGTGCCTCAGAGTTCAATATCTGGTATCACCCCCACCCTCCAAAAAAACCCCTCATTCTCTGCACTGTGGGCTTGAATGATCAAATAAACTCATGGTTCAAACTGGGATTATTTGTGATAAAGAAGCTTTAATAATAATTATGTCAAAGGGACTAAAATTTGACCAGTGCTACCCTGGACATAGGTCTGATCAGTGAAGATGCTTCTTCAATTTGATGCCTAAACAAAAACTTCTTTCCTTTTTAAGAATTTCCTATATATGCTATTTTCTACAGAAGCCACAGTGGGTAGGCCATGATTCAGGCAGGAAATGCCCTTAGTCACATCAGACTTCTCATTGTGGGGGGAAAAAACCCACTCATTACCACACTCTTAAATTACTTAGACAATTTGTATTCCAAAGGAAATTTTAGGATGTCAGCTATTCGGCAATATTGAGAAAAACATGAATGACACATATACCATCATCTCGGTTATGTACTTACCTCTCACCATTTTCTTGGACAAAGAAAGTAGAAAAAAATGTTATCTTAGATAATTTAACTTTTCAGAGCACCAGTTTCCTCATTTATGAATTGGGAATAATACCCACCTTTCAGGGCTATTAGGATTAGATATTGTTTAGTGTCCCTCCCAGCATGAAGCACAGGATGAGTGCTTAGTGACAACAACAACAGAAGTCATCACTCTGTCCTCAAGTCCTATTCTGCTGAGTCATCACACTAGACACTCTACAGCTACCTTGACTGCTAGGAATGGCTGACAGTCATTCTGTAGTCTCTAGGCGAGTTTAGTTGTGATCTTCTCCTTTAGGATCAGATCATTAGCTTTTCATGTCTGCTTCTAGGCTCAACTCTAGCCTCTGTTCTCTTGACTTCAAATCTGCCACAGCTGCAGAAACAATTTTCATGCATGTGCAAATCCTGTTAAAATGAATAAGGCTGAGGAGTCAAGTGCCTGGGTCTTCATGTTATATCTGTTGGGCCTTTCTCACATTTTTTTAAGCCCTAAAATCCTGTTCCCCAGGGCCAGGTTCACAAGGGATACTTGGGAACTCCCAGTCGGTTCCTTCAGATGTCACCACTGACCCTGAAAAGGACTGCTATAATTTAAATACCTTCTAACCTATCTTGAGCCCTTCAGCAACCTCTTGAGTGTGGCTCTGATGATCCTTGAACTTAAAAGGCATAGCCAGAGGGAAGGCTGTGTTGATCCACATCAGTGGTTCTAAACAAGCTATATGATCCCTTTGTTATTACCACCCATCTAACCACTTGAGACTCCTAGAAACAACTGGTGTAGAAAAATATTTAAGGAAAGAGACATGTTTTTCTCCTTTTATTAAAAAAAAAGAACACATTTGTGTTGAAACAATTCAAGTTTAATTTGCTGATATATGAACTCAGACAAACACTACATTCTACAACATACATAATGTCAATATGGGAAAATACCAAGTTTGTCATTGCACATACCAATAAATAAATACATTTGCTTCAGAATACCAAAAAAGTTTATTCAAAAAGTCACTTAATAAAAGCACAGTTTTGCAAGTTTGTCTAAAACTCCAGATAATTTTGAACAAAAATAAAATGTCTGACCACTCCAAAAGAGGAAAAGACAATCTTGTGCAAGTAGACATACACATTCTAGGCATTATGAAAACTGGCTAAATATGTGTTCCCAGCAAGAGGAATGTTACCCATCCTGACCAAGTCCCCTCTATCTTCAAATGTAGTATTGAAGAGGCCAGAGTTGGGCTTCCCCTTCTAAGCCATTCTGAGTTGCTCTCTAAGAACTCTGGACCTTAGCCTCACCTCCAGCTCTGCCTGGACCTTGATGGGGGGTGGGGGACAGGAGAACAAAGGAGAGGGGTGCATTGTCTTTCTTAAGAAAGAAGGCACAATGATGAGCTAGAAAAGGTAGTGTGATGAAAATAAATTTCATTCACCCTGAATCCTACAGCAAGCTTTGATAATCCAGCATCTTCATTTAAGAAAACAGACCTAGAGAATTCATGCAGTTTGCTCAAAATCATATAGCTACTAAGTTCAGTACTACTTTCTGTAAGACCAACATATCTTTCCATTTCATTGGAAACTTAAAACCAATTCGTCAATATTTCTTTTCTGTCTCTCCCTTGTATATCTTAAGATGACAGGAAATTGCAAACTGGAGATACACAAGACAGGCTGCCAAAATTCAAACAAGAAACCACTCCTTGGCCTATTACTGGGAGCTGTGACAAGCTTACAAGCCAGGGCCCAGGGAAATGTAACTGGCCCCAATCACAGTGCTAGGTATCATAGGAAAGCAAACTCAGCTCCCTGGAAGAGTGTGCTCTGATGGCCACCTGGCATCTTGAGGTCACAGGGATGTTCCAGCTGGGGCATGGAGTTATAGAGAAGGGAAGGTCAAGGTTACTGTGGTAAGGGAAAACCAGGGCATCCATCCAAGAGATGGAATTTGTGCTTGCATAACAGAGCCATAGACAGGCTATCCCAGCACCTTCACTCAATGCAGACCCCATCTGCACAAAGCATGAATATTTTCCTCTAAAACCACCCCTATTGCTTGTTAAATTTAGAATTACCTCTACATAAGTGGTAAGTGTGTTTTAGTGGCAAATGTCTTGCTGTTTCCAGTATGAAGAAAAACTGCTTCTACAGTCTTGTTAGGAGGTGGGCTTCAAGAGTTCTCTTCTAGCCTGCCCTCATCACACCCCTTGACTTCCAACACCTGTCCTCATGGATCTGGACCTTACATGCTTCCCCTGAACTAGTGTGATTTTTAAGGCACCGTCACTAGAATATATTCAGACTCATCTGAAAAGTATGTACGCAACAGACCAATCTCTTCTGATAATGCCAGGTGGGAACTGAATGACTTAACAACTTTCTTAGATGGTCTCCTCCTACTCAGAAACTTGGGATAAAAAGCTGGTAATTTCCCAGGAACACTTTCTTTCAAAGAGCATGAAATGAAGAGACAGAAGCCACAGGGATTGTTAACTGCATCCTTATTCTTTTCCTACTCATCCTTAGAAATATGATAAGAAACCTCAGTTGACTGCAGATTGCTGCCCTTTTCCCCAGATACAAGAGACATGCTGATGTGTGCATGCACGCGTGTGCACACACACACACACACACACACACGCACACACACACACACCACAGATGGACACAGAGCACCTTGGAGCCAGAAGGAGGGGTGAGGGAGCTAGACTTGGAGAGGAGAGGAACCATTTGGGGGCAGAAGGTATAGAGTTCTGGGGTACAGAGCCAGAAGTAGGTATAGAGGAGCTGCCTAAGGTCCCAGCTGCCCTACATCTTTAGGAACTGCTTATCCTATCACTGGTTCACTGTCCAATCAAACCATCTGGGCAGAAGGGCAGGAACTCTTACCATGAAGAGGCTAAACCCAGGTGGTCTCCAGGGCCTTGGCAGCTTTGTGAGTCCATGGGCCCCTGGCCACAGGGCCAGTGGTCAAGGAAAGGCAGCAACACCAGGAATGGGGTCTTAAGAGCTGACCTTGTGAGGCTGGTCTTAATTAAGTGACTCAACTGCTCTTGCTTGTCACCAGTGCCCAGAAGATTTTGTGCTAAGGCTCCCCTTTACTCCCAGGCTAGAAAGCTCAGCCTACATCTCCTGACTCTACCAAAATAGCCAGCTACCCCCCTTACATGTGTGCTGAAGCAGAGAGCAGAGGCCCACAGTATTTCCATTGTGCTTCTGATTATTTCACTCTGCCACTGGGGTCTTCCTAGACTCCAGATTCAGCCTATTCTACCTTAAAGTCATAGGCCTATAAAGAAACAGCTTGGTCAGACTTTAGAGATCATCTGGTTTCCAACAAAGTATCAAGAGGTCTCCAGAGTCAGGGAAGGAAGAGCCAAAGGAGAACTACAGAAGGGAGGATGGCACCACAATCTTTCATCAGGAAGTGAACCAGCACCAGAACAGAAAGTCCTGATGCTCTCTAAAAACCAGACCATGTTAACAAAGGCTAGGTTACAGGAGGGGCCTCTTGAGAGATGTATGGTTTAGGTGTGGGCAGCTCCTGTTAAAAGCAGGTGTGCCTTGTTTTAAGCATTCACATAGAAAAATGTTGGTTACAAAAATGAGAGCATACTAATTCCACTTAAGTTAAAACAACTTCACCTATAGAGCCTCACTAATATGTTTAAAGTATGTCTTGTATTTATTTAAAATTTCTACTTAGCCCTTCCAAACATTTCTACTCTAAAGCAAGGTCCAACTGCTGTTTGCTTCCCACAGATTTCTGATCACTATCTGGGTAAGAAGACTCTGTCAAGGTAAACAGCCTGAACAAGAGTTTAGAGTCCCTAAGCCTATAGGGTGGATGGTGCCATCCAAGAAATAGTGGCAGTGGAGGGAACGTTTAGGCCAAGTCCTGTAACACTTAGGCTGCCTGTCACATCTAGACAGAGAAATGTGTCGCAGCTTGCTAAGGTCTGCTCACAACTGTGCAGTCCTCATGGAGGGGCCGGGCAAAGGCCAATCCTGATCAGACTGACATGTAAAAAGCCAGACAATTTCCAACAGGGAAATACCCAATTCTCTACAGAAATGGCTTCCGTCATGTATACCAACCAGGATGTGTCTAAATCTCTTGAATCAGGAAGGGAAAAGGGCATGCAGAATGGGCTCCATAAGGCCAGAGAGCCATAGATACTAGTTTCTTGGGGGATAGTGGAAACAAATGAAGGAACTTGAGATTCTGAACTCAGTCATTAAACCAGCTAACTAACCCAGGGAAAGTCCCGTTTTTCAACATGATTCACTGAAAGCAACAAGTTGATCTCTAAGTGTCCTGCCACCTCTGATCTCTTGATTTAAAAATAGTCTCTCCTTTCCTCACCCTGTCCCATTCCCTTCCAAAAAGAACCATGCATAGCCTTCAACAACCATGATTTGGCTGACAGCAGTGAGAGCTGAAACACAGTCAAGAGCACCCACAGCTGGGTCTTTCCAGAGAGAGGTAAGATTCTTCCTGGAGCATGCCTTGGCTTGGGAATGGTACTTTTCCAGCAAGGGCTGGTGACCTGGTTCCCATCTGCATTTCCCAGGGGTTGCACTGGGGCT